TAACACAGAATGAGTAACAGAAACAGACGGCTGCTCTGTGTGCGCAGGGGCAGGAGACGCAGACCGCCTGCCCAGCTGTAGCTGGGCTTCTCTGAGAACGGGCTTGTAGGTCAGCTTAGAGTTTTTTGGCGATGATCCCAGAGCAATTGGACGTTTTTTTCCCTTACTTTTCTAAGGAAGCTCAAGTATACCTGTGGCATTAGGTAAAGAACTGCCAGAGCGGGTCACAAATAGTTTAACCATCCCCTGAACTTGGTCTCTGGCAGTGGAATTTGGGACAGTCAGGTGAGTACTGAGTCCCAGACCTGGGGAATGAAGACGCTGAGCTCTAACAGAGATCAGGGCCTTTGGGGGCCCAGGGAGTGCCGCCACTGTCTCCAGCCTGGAGACGGGCAGCCTCCAATGGAGGCCGATGCTTTCTTGACTACCAGCTCCCCACAGCAGCCACGCGGGGAAGGCTGTCCCAGGGCAGAGCCCTGGCCTCTCCTCCTCCTGTCCTGTGTGTCCCCCACAGCCACGAGAAGATGACCTCGTTTGAGCTGGGCACCAGAGTGACTAAACCGCCTTCCACACTGGACAGAACCTATTGGGAACAAGTTGTCTAGTTGCAGCAAGAGGTGACCGGAGGCACCAGCCTGCTGCGGTGAGAGTTTCGATTTTGGCCTTTTAGAGGCCTCCCAGCCTCCTCTGAGTAGCCAGTGGCCTGTGATGACAGAGCTCAGCTTGGACAAGGCTTGACCTGTGTGCCGGCTCTGGGCAGGGGGCTGGGGATACAAAGTCAAAAAAGATGCAGTGGTCCGTGCTCTGGAGATTCGAAATCTATCGGGTGACAACAATGGCAAAGCGGTGCAGCTGCACGCGCCCGGGAGGCGGGACCAAGTGGGGACAAGCCCCAGGAGAACTACCAGGATTGATGGGGTGGGACGGGAACAGCCTTCCCAAACATGCAGGCAGAGGAAGAGCACCGGAGTCACTAGCATCAGCTTGGATGGGTGTTGGGACGGGCTGGCACGATGAGCCCCTGGGCGCTAGGTGACCCCAGCGCCATAGTTGGGAAGTTGGTGATGCCAACGGCACTTGGTTACTTTCAGGATGAGATCAGTGAAGAGGGGTGAGGGGAACAGGCTAGTGAGAGTCCAGAGCGGTCTGGGCGAGAAGGGGGGAGATGGATGTTTTAGGTGAGAAGCTTGACTCGTAATCAGGTTGCAGCTGCTTGACCGCAACCAGTTAGCAGACCCCACACACACACTCAGTGCTCAAAATGCTACTGGAGTTTGTGGTAAATCCTGTATGTAAAAATTCAAGTCTGTTGAATATTCAAGTGCAGAGCTGTTCACTGCATTTAAGGCCAGTCTGGTTCTGGTCCATCTGGACTCGCTCATTAGCCTGTTCCCCTCGCCTCCTTTCACTGATCTCATCCTAAAAGTAACCAAAGACTAACACCCAGTTTCCCCTGACTGACTCTGCCTGGGACCCACGAACACTACCTGGGATCGCCTGTGAAGCGAGAGGACCTCAGATCTGCTGCTCCAACTGCTTCCTTTGAGAGCCCCCC